GCTGAATCATGCTCAATCATGCTGTTAAATTTGCATTTGGGCTTTATAGTTCCCACCAATCAGATATGTACAAAATATGGATTGATTATCTTCTCTGTCCATATCGTACATATTCAAAAGGGCCTAGTGGGATATCACTTAATGCACAAAAAAAAAAAGTTCGTGCGCAAAAAAAGGGTCAACATTGGACGCTCGCGGTGCACGCTGAAGACGTCACTATTAAGCAAACCTTTGTGACTTAAACAGTTCTAATCTAGCAAATTTGACTTCCTCTGGAGAAATCGTACAGTAATGCAAGTACTTGTACTTACCGTGCTTGGCTGAGCGTAAAATTAGCTGATATTCGTTCAAACAACATGTCATTACCATGGAGTCTGGATGCCAATTAGTGTGACAGTGCTGTCACGACACATCCAAAGGTCAACAAGCGACGTTTCTGAAGAGTTGTTACGGTTTTAAAAACAGAGAAAGGCGCTTCGAATTTATCCATCATGCAAGCCATCAATAATTTCTTATTAGAGGTCTCCCGAACGACCAGCTTCTCTATCGACAAGGTGCGAATAACGTATTGACGTGTACGAAATAACGTGTGAATAATATCAACAGTAATAAGTACGGAGTTTCGTATTGACTGTCTTGTTAATTTTTGTCTTCTTTTTAGATTAGCTTTGTATTTTGTATGTTATTATGTCTTCCACTTGGACTGCTGTTTCGGATCGTTTTTCATCCAAGCCGTGTTTCCACGACCACAAGAAGATCAGTTGGCGTCGTCTGGGGTATTTCAATAGCGTTCTTTTGTTATGGCTGGTAAGCTTATAGATATTGCACAATGTAGACGTTCTCAAGGTGTAGTCCTTCTTGCTGCGTTGTGACTGACAAGGGCAGATCGCGAATCACTGGTGGTTACGTAATTCAAATCTACTGCCGTCTTAACGAATATTACGAGCAAATATTTATAATTACCAGTGCAGAAAGACCCCGTTGGATGGACAAACTTCGACAGCGAATTTATAGATAATTGCTGGATAAAAAAAACAAACCGTTGGCATCGTAACTTAGATGTTGTTATCACGTTATCAACTCCATCCTCCATCTCGCCTTGCTCTTGATGAACAAAGTCAAAGTCACGTACGATAGTTTAGAAGGAAATAGCGTTTACGGCGGCTTCGTTTTTCCCTCAGTGTTTGTTTTATTGTTTTTTTTACATGTAATCAGTGCCATTTTTTTTTTTCCCCGTTTCGAGATTCTACTCTAAAATGATAATATCACACATAAATGGATAGGGTCTAAAAGTACTTACGAGTGACCTCGAATGACCACGAGTGACCTCGAGTGACCACGGGTGACCACGAGTGACCACGAGTGACCACGGATGACCACGAGTGACCACGGGTGACCTCGGGTGACCACGAGTCACCACGAGTCACCACGGGTGACCATGAGTGAGATTACTTCAAAAAATGTCAGTAATGTTATTATTACGTCATTATGACATCGTTGTAAGATCATTTCATCACGATTATGACATAGGCATCACACTGAAGCTATTTACTGGTGTAGTAATCAAAGATTACAGCAGTGGCTGTCCGTTCATGATTCCATTGTTCAGTTCCTTTACAAATATTGGCTGTTGAGCTTATGTTCTTTCAGGCTCATCATATTACCTTTTTCATTTGTGAAAGCGAAGAAAAATCCGAGTGGTTTTATCAAACGCGTGAGGTGAGGCTCGAAACTTCAGGCGCGGACTATGTATATATTTTCTGAACGCCGAGCTACAAAACATTCATGCTCAGTTACTTGTAGTCGAAAATCACAGCGCCAAACTGTAGCTAGCGCTTTGCGTTATTCATACGCGCTGCCATCGGATCTAACTCGTGACTGCGTGCACGCACTCACTTGTTATTTGCCCCTGCAGGGAGGACAAATCGGTGAACACGGTCTTCCCAAAAAATTTTGAACGCACTGGATTAGGATTGCGCTACACCACGTGAACGCAACTAGTTTAACTGGAACACGTCCGATAATTTTTAGCGACTCAGTTAAGAAGAGGTACATCTCCTCTATGTCTTCTRCCTACTGCTTTGGAGGTGTTCATAATCGTGGCATGTGGACTATAGATTGCAGATTGCATATCATGGAATGAAAGGGAAACCCAAAATATGAAAATAAATTGAAATTGAAATTGAAATTGAACGTTCAGTTTCGACAAAAAAAGTTTAAAGAAATGCTTCTCCTGGAAGTTTATAGTTTCTTACAAGTTTTTAGTTTTTCAAGTTTTAAATCTATTCATTGCTAGTTCAACTTCACGTGCAGATCGTTCAGTTATCTGTTATTCAATCAAACAAAACATGCAAAAGTTTTGAGAGCGTCACTTCATTTCATAAAATCTCTCGGATTTTTGTTCGCTTTCACACATGAAAAAGGTCACGTAATAAGCATCAAAGAACATATTTTCAACAGCCAATATTTGTAAAGGAACTGAACAATCGAATTGTGAACGCACGGCCACTGCAGTAATCTCTGATTACTACACCAGTAAATAGTCTCAGTTTGGTGGATATGTCATTATTTGATGAAACGACCTTACAATGACTAAAAAATTGGCATTTTAATAACACCACTGGCATTTATTGATGTAACCTTACTCGTGGACACTCGTGGACACTCGTGGTCATTCGTGATTTTAGCTTGCGTTCAATTTGTTTATAACAAAACGGCAGACTAACGCGAATTTTGACGGGATTGTAATCATTGAATTCTCTCATGGTTCTTCGTGTCTTGCAGACTATCGGCTGCAGCAAGCTTATTTCACACAAGCAACATTTCTTTTTTTTTTAAACAAATGAACATTTCTGGTATTTGGGTTTCACTATTGTTTTCACCTAGAAAGATCCATACGTAAATTGTTGTCATGAATGAACAAATAGGTCGTTTTCACTGTCACGCAATGAAAAAATAAATTGAAAACCATTCCGTGGAAAATGCTATGAAATTATGATGTTATAGAAGATAACCAAATAAGACACTTCTCCAAGTTTTAGGTCTGTGCGTTTCCCCAAACTCCAGCTATTCGTCGAAATGTTTCGCAGATATTTACAGAGCCCAGTATAAAAACTAATATGGCGGCCGGAAAATAGTGTAAACATCTGGAACTTACTTTGGCTATCTAGGCGATTTTAGAAAGTGATGACGTCACGTGAAAACGATCTATAGACTGTCACGCAATGTCTCTTCCGTGACGACCTGATGTATATAGCAGCGCCAGTTCTTTGCAAACGATTTCTTCCTCTCTAAATATTGTGAATTTAGTTATTTATTTTTTATTCTATCTAACTAGGTGTAGCTGTGCATTTTTTAAAAGGTCCTTCTGTTATACCAGTGTCTTGTCTCTAGGTTACGTACTAGCTTGTCGTAATCATAAGTTTTTTTTTTCCGTTTAACTTGCAGGGAAAATTTAATTCTTGTTGGGTTGAGCACTGTTTGTTATATCATTACCGCTGTTGTAAGTCCTACAGTAGTGCACAGGTATGGTATTTCTGACGATGTAGCACCACTGAACAGGCAGAAATTTCAGTAATCAATCTAGGTCAGCCCTTGCCTTGATCACCAAAATTTTGTAGCGTAAATGTTTAGATATTTACTCTTAGGGATCCTTTGTTTCCTTTCACCTTTGTGCCTTTCCTGACCATTTCCTTTTCCAAACTATTTTTGTTTTTAATTCAGGAAAGTCCCATCTCTGTTGGAATACTTCAGTTACTTGTTCCACTACAGTACGATATTAGCAGGACCTGTTTGTACCTTCCGGGAATTTNCTCCCGTCCTCACCACCTCCCCCAGCAGAGTTGGCGGCACCGCCGGTGATTTCCGGGAAGTGTTTTCGTATCCGGCGTTGTCTCTAAATTCGTGTACATTGATAAGCTGAGGATATTCTTGCAATAAACTGGCCATGAAGTCCCTGGATCAGAAATATAATTTTTTTTTTCATTTTTAACGTGTGTCAGATTTGTGTTCATCGCGGCAATGGGGACGTTATCGGTAGCACATATTTACAGACAAATAACTAACTATGGTAAACATGCAGTGGATTTCTCTGGGTAAGTAAGACTGATCGATTGAATTACTTATTTTCGATTATTCTAGCGAAGTCTGTTGTGAACTTTCTCAGTAAATTACGGCCTTTCAAAATCTTTACAGAAAGACATACCCCATTAGAAAATGGAGAAACTACATAACACAAAACACTGGGTTTTGGAACAGCTCTCAAACACCTCCATACATGACAAATAAAAAAACACGCACATATTTTATTATGGTCAGCTGTTACTTTGGTCAGCGGTGTAGAACTATAATAATAGCGCATGCTCTGGAGAAGAGAATTCATTTTATGCTTATGTTCATCTAATTTTGTTTTTTAGCCCACTGATGTTGATCGTTCAAAAAGTTATCTACATAGTATTTAATATACATGATGGTAAGTTGATAAATATCAATCTAGTGTTTACAAACAAGCGGCCCGAATCCCTTGTTCAGACTTGTCAATAAAAGATGTCTAGAAAGCAAATGTGTTTTATTTTTAACTTACCATCTGCAGTGTAAAAACTATTCTGCCATTTTCCTTATAATTGACCTGTCGCTAACTCGTTTAACAGGTATTGCGAGAGAGGAAGGCAAGTTAACAGATGAGCAGAGAAGAGAGAAACTCAGGTGGGATATTCATTGCTTCTCTTTATTTCTTTACTTCTCCATTTTTGGACAAAATCACACCCGAGATAATGGACCGAGAGAAATGCTGACTGACTCCCGAGTTTTCGCGCCCCTTTCTGATTGGCTACTGAGTATATACGAGTACGCGTTGGACGCTTCTAAGAAGATTTTACGCCAAAAACGCAATTTATTCTCTCTGGCTGATAAAATTGTTTTAATCGATTCGCAAGTTGTAGTTCAGTTTCTTGGCTTTTGTATATACAGCTATTTCGAGAAAGGTTGTTGATGAAGGCGTCAAGCCGACTCGTCAAGACCGAATGCTACTCTAGGTATTCATTGGAATTGTGCATATCGGTGTAGAGGAAATACGAATTTATATTTTTGCACGTGAAGTATTAGCAAGCATACATTAGATTTTCCACTCATAAGATCGTTTTCCTGTAGTTTTTCTTTCACGTTTGTCATGTTGTTATACAATTATATCTGATGAAGTATTCCGCGCGTGTTGCAGCTATCTACTTCTACCCATACTAACTTTCGAGGGTTATCGCTTGTACTTTTACGCTTTATTACGGAAACCTTTCTCAAAACAGCTGTCTATTAGAATTCTCGTTTAGATTTTGCATCTACTGCGTAATTTGTGCCTTTCCTGACCATTACCTTTTCCAAACTATTTTTGTTTTTAATTCAGGAAAGTCCCATCTCTGTTGGAATACTTCAGTTACTTGTTCCACTACAGTACGATACTAGCAGGACCTGTTTGTACCTTCCGGGAATTTAATGATTTTATTGATGGATCAGACATCAGACCAAAGGTACTTATCACGCAAGAGTCAAGCCTGCTAATGTGTACTACTCGGGAAAGTATTTAATTCATGAGAAAGTACGGAAAATATGTAACTGGTGGAAAAAGTGGTTTGAGCCAGATCATGGCACCAAATATGATTGGCTGTGAAACAAAAGGTTCATTGAGCTCAACCAATCATAGGATCAAAAAGAAATAAAAAACACAAAAAGATATGTTTGCCTCTGAAAGCCAATCAAAACCGCTCTTAAAGGAGCTACGTCACGGCTTTTTTTTTCTTGAAAAGTTAAGCCTCAATTTTTCAAGTTCTTCGTTTGTAATCCGTGTTAATCTTCTCCATCCTTAACCATCCTTGGTCCTTTATGGTCTATTGTTATCTCTTTGGTTTCTTTCCATCTTAGTAAACTACTATTTTCAGGTTTCTTTCAATTTAAAGGTAATTTTGAACGTGTCCAAAATATCTAAAAATACTATGACTGAGCTCCTTTAATGTTTTCCTTTTTCCTAGAAACCTGGCGAGAAAGAACCTTCACCTTTGGTAAGACGGTTTATGTTTTGATTTACAATTTACAAAACTTAAAGAACTGTACTAATAAATTTCTGGTTTTGTTTTACCGCAACAGATGGATGTTATTAAGAAGATGTCATCCGCATTTTTGTGTATGTACATCTTATTTTTGACAGATGCGGACTACCCGATACCCAGAAATGCAGGCAAGTGAATCTGATTAAGAAAACAAAGCACAGACCACGGTATATACAACACAAAGCGTGGAACGAGAAACACGAATAGAGGAAAGTAAACATGAACTTAGATCACAAAATACTTCGGATGTTCATAATTAAGAAATATGAGTTATTTACCAAGCGGGAGGTTAAGATGGCTGGATATTGGTCTCGTTCTATTTTGTGTGTTTATGGACCGAGACAGAGTTGAGGTCCATAAGCTCGCAAAAAGAAAAAAAAACGAGCTAGGCCAATAGCCAGCCATCTTCACCGAACAAGAGCTAAACAAGTTTGTCCAATAACGGATTTGTTATATGACTTTCGGGGAAATTTTTCTTGTGGGACATAGCGGGTAGTCCCGAGCGGTCAAGATAGCGCCATCTTGCCCA